ACACACACACACACACACACACACACACACACACACACAAAAAAAAAATAGTTTGGGAACATGTAAAGTTCAAGATCCACAAGTTGAGAGCACTCTGCAAGCTCTAATTATTTTTTATTTTTTGCTTTATTATTGAATTTTATTTTGTTCAAGATTATTCAGATAACACTGGAAGTTTTTTTTTCAACCACAAGAACCCCTCAAAAGTTCATTTCCCAGGAGATCCTGTAATCCTCTAAGGAGAATGAGGATTAACAAAATAAACAAACATTTAGTTTGAAGTCTTCTGTACTCTTTCTAAGGAGTATGAAAGGAAACAGAAGGTTGGTCAAAAGAAGCCACTTTGAACACAACACCCAACAAACTCATGCCTCTCCGGTTGGGCAATATTGGCAAAAAAATTAATCACAATTAATTGTGGTATTTAGCCGATAACGATTAATTTGACTATTAATCCCCTGGAGTCCCAGGACACTCTTATTTCRTAGTCACATGACCAATTTAGTGGGAAAGATTTGCTCTTTGTAAAAAAAAATATTGTTCCAAATTATGTGAAAATTACAGATTTCAGGCTATACATCTTATTTTAAATTGTATTGATAGATAAATAAATTACAGAACTTTATTTTTAATGTTCGTCATATTTGAAGCGGAGTGGAGAACTGAGCGGACTGACTGGAGTAATCCCCAGTCAGTCTGCCTGGTGACATTAATCATATTAATCATCAAGTGCCAAAAAGTTATCGATTAATGTTTTTCGGATGATTAGTTGCACACGATACGATAATGCCCAACCCTACTCATGCCCCACTTTCTCTGATGTGGAACTACTACCTGGACTGGGTTTTCAAAGAACAGAAACATGTGTACATAGTTCATGTTTAATTTCAATGCAAACTTCACTAATTTTTACTTGCAATATACTGGACTATACATATACACAGAAAGAAATCATGCAGTCATTATTTTTAGAAAAAAATCAACCTAATGTTTAAAGTAATCGAGGTGTACTTTTTGCTCTGTTTAATGGCAAACACATTTGTTTAACTATGCAAAAAAGCAGACTTGCTTGATTTGACACACTTTCGTTGTATTTTATTGCAAAACTATGCACATGGATCAGCAATAATGATTTTGTACTTCTTTATATAAGCTTTTATAGTGCGTCGCCATCATGAAGTGTCTGGTTTAACAGGTTCAACAAACTTTAAGTTACCACCATCTGTGTGATGGATGTTTTATATTCGTAGTTGTAAACCAGCATGGATCATATGTAGATAAAAAACATAATTACACAGCCGGATCCATTTTCTCTCATCGGTCCGTTTAAGCGAGAGTCTCGTTTGTGTATTATCACATTTTGTTAGGAGAAGGKTTAGAAGTACAGTACTGACTGCAGGGCTGAAGGCACACCCACACTAATGGAGTGTTTAGTAGAAAACAGTTGTGATCCCTCTGTAACACACTGGTATTGTATAGTATCTCTCATCATCTCTCGCGGTGCCAGCCAGCTCCACATGGCACAGCGAGTCCTTCCACCCACTCTGCGTCTCTAGCTCCCTCTCACACAGCTCATGCAGCTGAGTTCGGTGTGTGGTCTTTTGACRTGAGAACAAAAGCACAACAGTGTTTGATGCCGAGGTTACAGCACGGACATTAACTGTATAAACTAGAAATGGGAAGAGGGTGTTTGTTTAGCTGTGAGACACTGCACATAGTTTCCTCTTTCATGATTAATAAGTTTTAGTTTTGTCAGAATATTACAGTTGGTTGATTAGTCTGATCTAAAACTTTCTGAGTTGTCATTAAGTATGTGTCTTTGTTGAGTATAGGCTAAATTTTAAACTTTATATTAACAAAAAGGTACAAAATACTCCAATACACCTGCATCTTGATCCGAGACATCCTTCGAGCTTTGAGCTATGATCTGAGAGGTGAAAAAGAGCAACTGACAGTTTAGATTTTACCCACTATCATGTTTTCTTAGACAAATCTCAAAGCTGTTGCAGCTGCCGCAGAGCTAAAACGGTCTGGACTTAAAACATTTTATACATTTTGCTGGGGTACATTGTCTTCTGATCAAGGTGTACCCGAGTTTTTCTTTTTTGCATTTTCTGTGTTCACCCTGACCATTTCACATTAATTAGTATTCTTTATTAAGGGTTTTGTGGTGATGTATTCAGTATAAAAGCATCTAATAGTGGTTTTTATTTCGAAACCTTGCCTTTATTTCCCGCTTTATTGTACTTGTAAAGTAATGTAACCTCATTCCTCTTGTCTGAAAGGTGTTGTAGAAGGTGACCTGGCAGCTGTGGAAGCGTACAAATCATCTGGAGGTGACATAGCACGACAACTAACATCAGACGAGGTGCGGCTATTAAACAGACCCTCAGCATTTGATGACGGCTTCACGCTGGTCCACCTATCCATCCGCTTCCAGAGACAGGACATGCTGGCTGTGCTACTCACAGAGGTCAGTGTAGACAAAACAATACATAGTTACTCTTTAAGAAGTTATCTACCATCAGTTATGGCCTTTTTGGTTTCTCTTGACATTCTAATTGTTTAGACATTTGAGTTATAAGCAACAGAATGTTGAGGCAAATGGATGCATGTTATAATTTAACACTTTATTTTTGTTTTGTGATAAATATTCCTCTACTGTTTTCAACTTGCTATTATTAAAATAGTTTTGACAATAGTGTACCTATTGTGTGTTTGAGTCTGCCTGCCTTGAGCATGTTGCATTTGATTGCAGTGTGTGCTTGCTGTCAGCACATCCAGCTATCCATCCATCCATCCATCCATCCATCCTCTTCCGCTTATCCGTAGTCAGGTCGCGGAGGCAACAGGTCCGGGAGAGAAACCCAGACATCCCTCTCCCCAGCGACATTTTCCAGCTGGTCCTGAGGGACCTCGAGGCGTTCCCAGGCCAGAGAGGATACATAATCCCTCCAGCGAGTCCTGAGTCTTCCCCGGGGCCTCCTCCCAGAGGGACGTACCTGAAACACTCTAAAGGGAGGCGTCCAGGAGGCATCCTAATCAGATGCCCGAACCACCTCAACTGACTCCTTTCGATGTGGAGGAGCAGCGGCTCTACTCCAAGCTCTGCCCAGATAACGGAGCTCCTCACCCCATCTCTAAGGCTGAGCCCGGCCACCCTACGAAGGAAGCTAATTTCGGCCGCTTGTATCTGGGATCTCGTTTTTCGGTCATGATCCACGCCTCATGACCATAGTTTGGGTTGGAACGAAGACAGACCAGTAAATTGAGAGCTTTGCCTTTCAACTCAGCTCTTTCTTCACCATGACTGACCGAAGTAACGCCCTCATTACTGAGGATGAGGCCCCAATCCGTCGATCCATCTCTCGCTCCATCCTACCATCACTCGTGAACAAGACACCCAGATACTTAAACTCCTCCACTTGAGGCATAGACTCTCCCCCGACCCGGAGGGGRCATTCCACCCTTTTCCGATCAAGAACCATGGCCTCAGACTTAGAGGAACTGACTCTCATCCCAGTTGCTTCACACTCGGCTGCGAACCGCCCCAGCGCATGCTGAAGGTCTTGGACTGAAGACGCCAACAGAACCACATCATCTGCATACAGCAGAGACGAGACCCTGTGGTCCCCAAACCAGACACCCTCCTCTCTACGACTGCGCCTTGAGATCTTGGCCATAAACACTACAAACAGGATCAGAGACAAGGGACAGCCCTGGCGGTATCCAACACGCACTGAGAACAAGCTCGACTTTGTGCCAACAATGCAAACAACAGCTCCTGCTTTGGTTATATAGGGACTGAATCGCTCCTAGTAGCAACCCAGACACTCCATACTCCCGCAGCACACCCCACAAAATTCCCAGAGGAACACGGTCATAAGCCTTCTCCAAGTCCACTCCCATGACTCCCTTAGCAACTCTGCAAGGGTAAAGATCTGGTCCACTGTTCCACGCCCAGGTCGAAAGCCACACTGCTCCTCTTGAATCCGAGGTTCGACAATCGATCAGAGCCTCACTTCCAACACCCTAGAATAAATTTTCCCGTGGAGGGCAAGAAGTGTGATCCCACGATAATTAGAACACACTCTCTGGTCCCCTTTTTTTAAAATGGGAACCACCACCCCGGTCTGCCACTCCACAGGAGTTGTCTCAGTCTACATGTGAAGTTGAAGAGACGTGTCAACCATGACAGCCCCAAAACATCCAGAGCCTTCAAGCATCTTGGGGCAAATCTCATCCATCCCTGGCACCCTGCTACCAAGGAGCCTTTTGACTACCTTGGTAACCTCTGCCATGGTAATGGACTCGTCTTCCCCCCAGTCTTCAGACTCTGCCTCCTCAAAGGTGGACATGGAGGGTGGATTCGGGAGATTCTCAAAGTGTTCCTTCCATCGCTCAACAATATTCTCAGTCCTGGTCAGCAGTTCCCCACCCAAGCCAAGTGCGGCCTGGGACAGGGAACGCTTTCCTTTTCTGAGTTGTTGAATGATTTGCCAGAACCTCTTCGAGGCCAATCGAAAGTCCTTCTCCATGGCCTCCCCGAATTTCTACCATGCCCGGGTTTTTGCATCCGAAACCACAGAAGCTGCAACCCTCTTTCCACCCTGTACCCGTCAACTTCTTCAGGGGTTTTCCGGGAAAGCCAAGTCCGGAAGACCTCCTTCTTCAGCCTGACTTTGGTTGCCGCCACGACAGGCACCAATGACCTTCAGGCCACAGCTCCTGGAAGCCGCATTTGCAATGGAGGCCCTGAACATGGCCCATTCGAATTCCATGTCCCCGACCTCCCCTGGGACATGTGAAAAACTCTCCTGGAGGTGTGAGTTGAAGATCGCATGGACAGGGGACTCCGCCAAACGTTCTTCACCCTCACYATGCGTTTGGGTTTACCAGGTCTGTCCAGTAGCCTCCCCCGCCACTGGATCCAACTCACCACCAGGTGGTGATCAGTTGACAGCTCTGCCCCTCTCTTCACCCGAGTGTCCAAGACCTAGGGCCGCAGGTCAGATGACACGATTACAAAATCGATCATCAACTTTGGCCTAAGGTGGCCTGGTACCAAGTACACTTATGGGACCACCCTATGCTCAAACATGGTGTTCATTATGGACAACCCGTGCTTAGCACAGAAGTCCAACAACTGTCAATAACAAGTCATAGCTGTCAGCACAGTGATCCCAAATTATCTGAATCTACACCTCTCCTCCCACTCAGTCAGTGCCCTAGTTCTTTTGTAAAGAGGTCAGCGCATAATTGTTAGATCACATCTCTATAATGCTTCAAAGATGACAATGACAACTGGCTGAACATTAAACAAAGAAGAAGAAAAAAACGTCTCCTTCTCTTTTTAACCACAATAGAGATTTAACAAGTATAACTAGCCCATGTTGCAGAGTCCTTCAAGTGGGTTGTGTAAACACACAGAAAGCGATTGATCTTTTTATCTATTCATGCTTGAATGTTACTGGAAATATGTTAAAGACAACCTCAAATTGATTTAAAAAATAACTAAATAAAAGAGATAGCAAATATGTTAAACTATTGTCAGCTCTGAGCTCATGCTGTCCTATTTTATTTCCTTCATTCTCTGTTTTTGCAGGTCTCCCAGCAGGCAGCCAAGTGTATTCCAGCCATGGTGTGTCCGGAGCTGACCGAGCAGATCCGTCGCGAGGTAGCAGCCTCTCTTCACCAGCGCAAAGGAGACTTCACCTGCTACTTCCTCACAGACCTGGTTACCTTCACCTTGCCTGCAGGTCATTACTTCATCAGCAAACGAACAAATAGAACCAGGAGCACGGGCTCTTTTATTCAAACAATCAAACAATAAATGATGTAGACACGGTCATGATAATCATTATGTGAACTCCAGAAACAGAAGAAACATTGCAGCTAAAGAAATCCTTACTCTAGTCATTCTTTGGCTTTATAAGCTTGTATTAGAATGCCTGTTTTGTTTACTTGTAGCGTATGAAATAGCTTGTTTTTCACATGCTGAGGGGATATAATGCTGCGCTTGTCTGTTTCTGACTTTCACTGTTTCTGTATTGTTCATGCCCACAGCCAGCATGCCAATGGGACGGTTTTTAAACTTTGCAATATACCAAAACTTATTTAAAAAAATGTTATTTTATTATTTATCTTAGTTTCTTTACTGTGCCATTATTATTTTATTTCTTACTATAGCCTCAAGATTTTTGTTTCGTCATATGGTCACAGCAGTGTCAACGTTGGCTGCTGGCCACTATAGAAACTCATTTTGTCCAGATGTACCAAGGCAACACAACACTTTTAGCTAAACAAGGAAGCTTCTGTGTGGATGAGAGCCCAAAGCATGCAGGGAAAGTCACTGGTGTGCAACATGATGGCTTTTAGGTAGAACAAGCTGTGAAAGATTGTTCTGTATTAGTTCAGAACAGACAGATAAAATCATGATTCTGGTGCTTAATTCTCTCTTTATTAGTTTCAAACATTTATTTTTGTTTCAGACATTGAAGACTTGCCACCAGCAGTTCAGGAAAAGCTGTTTGATGAAGTGCTGGACCGAGACGTACAAAAAGGTGAATTATTCACTCTTAGTTGTACGACTACTTTTTGCATTGTCGCCTATCTAGCAGCAACAGTCTGGTTGCTAGGCAAACAGAAAGAGCCCTTTCACAACTCTTACTATAACAAGGAGGCAGCTCCATCCTGGCAGTGTTAAATTACTTGTAATTTTCCTTCTTGCCAACACTGTCTTTTGCCTGGCAGCTTTTCACTCAGCCCAGCAGTCTGCCTTTCTCATGTGTACCAGTTTAATTTGTGCTAATCAGCCTAACTGAGTTTCAGGGATTTCTCTGATYCTCACTGAGTGATTGAGGCGGTCTTTCAAATAAGACCACACAGTTTATCTTTTAGTTGTCGACTCTTTTTGCGTGCCCAGCTAAATCACTTCAGTGTGTCAAATAACAGGCGCTGCTGTAAAACAGCAGAAATCCCTCTTTAGCCTCACTGGGTGTGTTTTTGTTTGAGAAGTAACAATGAACAGAAATCCTTTTCTCGTTAAAGGATTAATACAAACCCGGTTGGTTTTTGCTTAAAACCTGTTTACCCAACCATTTGAACACCATTTTTTTTTTTGTTTCTCTCAAAGGCTAAATAATAGGTGTTTTCCTTTTTTTCTTTTTTTTTTTGTTTAGAACTGGAGGAAGAGTCTCCCATTATCAACTGGTCCCTGGAGCTCGGGAGCAGATTGGACAGTCGGCTGTATGCACTTTGGAACCGTACAGCAGGGGACTGCCTCCTTGACTCTGTGCTTCAAGCCACCTGGGGTATTTATGATAAGGACTCGGTGCTTCGCAAGACTCTCCACGACAGTTTGCACGACTGCTCTCACTGGTGAGACCAGCAGACCAACAGGATTACACAGTGTGTGTTAAAACACAACCTTTGTCCAGTGTGGCTAATTTGCATTTAGCCCTGAATGTATTCAAATTCTGTTCAGCACGTATGAAGCAATATAGACTAAGCTCCGTGTGTGTGTGTGTGTGTGTGTGTGTGTGTGTGTGTGTGTGTGTGTGTAGGTTTTACACACGTTGGAAGGAGTGGGAGTCGTGGTATTCCCAGAGCTTTGGTTTGCACTTCTCCCTTCGAGAGGAACAGTGGCAGGAAGACTGGGCTTTCATCCTGTCCCTTGCCAGCCAGGTGCACAAAAGCAAACAAACATATTATTATGGAGAATGAGATAATGTGTAATAAAATATGCCTCACTAATGATACATAAAGTATGAAATAGTTTTCACTGCTTTTAGTCTTGATTTGCATGCTCTGTATTACCCTGGGAAAGTGCATTCTGCCAGTCATTAGTCAAATTACTCAGCCAGTGACTTCACTGACTGAGTATCTGGGTGGATTGTGTTTATATCTGTGTGTAGGAGCTCAGTAATTGCGGGTATTTTATTTTTTTCTTTCATGACTTGGCAGCGTTCAGAAATGTTTTGAAACTTTCACCATCTTAGCTTTCCAAATGTTTTTTTTTTTTTTTTAATCTCTCGTTTGTTGTCATTTTACAGCCAGGCTCAAGCTTGGAGCAGACCCACATTTTCGTTCTTGCACACATACTTCGGAGGCCCATCATCGTTTACGGAGTGAAGTATTACAAAAGTTTCCGTGGCGAAACGCTCGGCTACACTCGTTTCCAAGGTAAGCGCTCGTTGGTCCGGTGTTGTTTTGCTCAAATATTGATCAGTTCCCAGCGCTGCGCTGTTCCAGTGGGTGTGGAAGATCTAGACTTCTATTGTAAAATAGCTGCAGCCTACATGAGTCTGCATAGCTGACATAGCTGGCATAACGCTGATCTGTCAGTAATTGTCTAACGGCATGCATCAGTCCTGTGGTGTTGTTTTTTTTAGACTCACAACAAAGTGTCACTTTGTGTCACAAGGTCACTTATGATGACTACTGCCCCAGTTATATCTGAACACATACGAACCATCAGAACTAAAGTGAAACAAAGAGTGTGGAGTCCAGCTAAATGACTAGAAGTAAAAACAGTCTGGATTCAATTTGCCTGCTGAGCGAGGCTGTTCGGAGCTTGATGTAACTCTTCAGTGAGAGCCAGCTGCTTGTGGTAAAGCCTGCCTGGAGGCTTGGTGAGTTACAGTTGCCAGGAGTCGGGATGAAACACGGGGGAGGGCGGTGCTCGTAAGTGCCTGTAAGGAAATAAAGAGAGGAGACAACTAAGTTTCTCTGGTAAACTTGTTGACCAAAAAATAAAGCAGTAAAAATACAGTGGTTACCAGGAGATGAGCTGAACGATTGTAATGTCAATTACAGAGGAATTCATCAGGTAAATAAGTGCTTTGAGTTTACATGTTTTAGTTAAGCTGTATGATGATTTGATTTGTATCTTAAGTATTTCTGTTTCTGATACACTTTCATCTCTTTTGAGGAAAAAAATGTTGCCATTCTTATATGTCCTGATGCATCTCAGTAATCCAGGTAGAAACAATCCAAAAGAAAAAATAAGTAGGTCCTCTGGATGGGTTCTTCTTTAGTGAAAAGTTTAGTCTCTCCTYTAGAGACTTCTTCAGTCTGATGAGCTTCACGTGAACTCAGCCTTATAAGCACTGCCTCCACATGGTGGATAAACAGGTTAGTCACATGCAAAAAAGGGCCATCGCCTAACAATAGGCTTGATTAGCTCTATTGTTCATAGAGGGTCATGTGCCCCATCACCTGACTTAAGGCTCCTGCATGCTGCTGCCGAACTGCCAAAATCGTGCTGAACTGTCGCAGTTTTATGACAAAAATTGCGTCACTTCTGTTCGCATTGTCGGCATTTCGACATTTCTTGTCGAACTTTTCACCCCCCCTCCACATAAGAACACATACGAACTGTATGGTGTGATTGGTCAGAAGTTCCTGGGAGTTTTTAGGCGCTCAGACACTGCATTTGCTTCAACCACCCGCTTCAAAAAAAAAGAAAGGGAAAAAAAAGAAAAAAGCGATCGCTTTCAAAGCTGACTGTTGTACCAGGAAGCAGCGATTTAAAGATAGTCAATGGCCAAAAACTCATAAAAGGGGATAAAACAGACATTTTTCACGGTGGAATCTGACTGATAAAAACTTTGGAGCTTAAACGGGACCAGTTTGTGGATAAACGTCGAATGAAGAGCCGCAGACTTTTTTTTTTTTCTGCATTGCACTCCCCGGGGAAGGAATCCCATGCATTGACGAATGCTGGAGTGGGAGGGGTTTCCCAGCAGCTCGGCTCGGGGTGTCTTGGGAACTATGAAAGGTATGTGCGAAAACGAACGCTGAACAACCACGTGACGACGCGTCGACCGGTCGACTGCCGAGCAACCATACTGCCAGCTTTATTGGTTTGGATGCTTYGGCTGTGGTTATTTGGTGCTTTATGTGTATGTAGTGAGTGCAAGCAGGGCTCAACGTCCCCTTGTTTTTGTCTCTCTTTCCCTCTTTGTGTTGGGTATCGTTGGGACCCTGATTCACACCTTTTGCTCACAGGGGGTTGTGTCATACTTGCAATAACATCAGTGTAGGAGGAGGACTCTCTTGGAGGAGAGACGAAATGTTTCACTAAAGAAGAACCTATCCAGAGGACCTACTTTTTCCTTTTTGGCCATGTCTTAACCTTGCACTTTTACAGTAAGAAACTTTGGAGAAAYGAGCTCAAATTATGAGCCCATTAATGCAAACGAGTGACTCCCCACACCCATATGAACCATTTTATTTATCAAATTAGTTGGTTTCTTCTGAGATTTTATTTCATTAAGTTACTTGTATGTATGGACATMATGTCAGAAAATAGCAGCAATGCCATGTATCACAGTTATTTATGAACTGTCTTGTGATGCTCACCAAGTTAAAAAATAATTCAGAGAACATTTTGCTGCATTATCCCTTTTTATTGTTTATCTTTTGCATTGATTTGTATTGATGATTGCGTTATTYTATTTTTCCATTCAATTTTTTTCAACTTTTATATACAATATATTCAAATCACATAGTTGATCAAAGATGATAGCAGGATCTTGATTCATGTACTTGACTTTAATTTGAGTAATTTGTAAGTCTCTGAAGCGAAGCAGAGCTTGTAATGCAATAAATCTGCTCCRAACAATCAAATTATTCAGCAGCAGTAATTGTGCACTGAATTATTTTTAGACTGCAAATGCCCAACATGTTATTTACCAAGCTTGATTTACCATCCAGATTGTTATCCATCCATCCATCATCCATTCATCTATCCATCCATCCATCCATCCAGATTGTTGTACGTGCAAGTTATCCATCCATCCATCCAGATTGTTTATCCATCCATCCATCTGTACATCCATCCAGATTGTTGTACGTGCAAGTTATCCATCCATCCATCCAGATTGTTTATCCATCCATCCATCTGTACATCCATCCAGATTGTTGTACGTGCAAGTTATCCATCCATCCATCATCTATCCATCCATTCATTCATCTATACATCCATCCATCCATTCGTCCATCCATCATCTATACATCCATCCAGATTGTTGTACGTGCAAGTTATCCATCCATCCATCCAGATTGTTTATCCATCCATCCATCTGTACATCCATCCAGATTGTTGTACATGCAAGTAATCCATCCATCCATCCATCCATTATCTATCCATCCATCCATCATCTATCCATCCATTCATCATCTATCCATCCATCCATCATCTATCCATCCATTCATCTATACATCCATCCATCATCTATACATCCATCCTACCATCCATACATACACCTGTACATCCATACATCCATCCTACCATCCTACCATCCAACTGTCCGTCATCCATCCATCCATCCATCTTGATGTGGAGGAGTAGATGTTCTACTTAATATCTCCATGCGCCTGCCCCCCCCAGGTGTGTACTTGCCCCTTTTGTGGGAGCAGAGCTTCTGCTGGAAGAGCCCCATCGCTYTGGGATACACTCGAGGCCACTTCTCAGCACTGGTGGCCATGGAGAACGACGGCTTCGACAATCGTGGCGCAGGCGCCAACCTGAACACAGACGATGACGAGACGGTCACATTCCTGCCACTGGTGGACAGCGAGAGGAAGCTGCTTCACATTCACTTCCTCTCTGCACAGGAAGTAAGAAGCAGCTGTAGTTTGTTTGTTGTGTAATTGTGGAGCATTTGGTGAAAGTTGTGTTAGACTACACAATGGGGTATTTAATGTTTTCCTCCTCTCCTTCAGATGGGTAATGAAGAACAGCAGGAGAAGCTTCTGCGGGAGTGGCTGGACTGCCTTGTGACTGAGGGCGGAGTTCTGGTGGCCCTTCAGAAAAGCTCCCGCCGCCGCAACCACCCGCTCGTCACCCAGATGGTGGAGAAGTGGCTGGACGGCTACCGGCAGATCCGCCCCTGCGCCTCCTTGTCCGATGGCGAAGAGGAGGAAGACGACGATGACGAGTGACAAAACTAAAGCAAAATGAGAAGATCTGCAGGGGGACTTCCTACTTTTTTTTTGTAGTTTTTCTCTGGTTATTTTTAATTTTTTCTTGTTTTTCCTTTCTTGACACGGACAAACTGTGAAAGCCTTCAGCAGTTGTCAGGGAACCACAAACCCCTGGCTTCTGCATCCAAAGCCACAGAAGACACGGCTGCTCTTCTGGCCGATACAAGCACTTGGACATATTTTACAAAAAAAAAACAACAACAACAATAATAACTTACAACACTTTACTCAGACCATTGTGAGACTGACAAAAAATATTTGGTGAGGATAAAGGTTTACAAATGCAAATAACCCTTTGATTTAAGTTCCAAATGTAAAGGAAAAAAGRTAATCTGTATCCATAGATGTAAAATGCATGTGGTTGTTCAAAACAAAAAAAGGTCAAGAAAATATACCAGCATTTATTTAAAATCAACACTTTCTATCTGTTCAGTGTGGGCACTGACAAAAGCACACTTCCAAATTAATCTTGATGTTTTTCCAGTTGTATAAGAGTTGGCTTGTTCAGCATTTTTGTGTTTGAACAGACAGGGACAAAGCCAATAATTATTATCTTTAAAAAAACAGATTGTGTATTAATAATAATAACAATAATAATATTAATAATGTATATCCTTATAATTAAGTACTGCACATTTATAAAAAAAACATTTCTAATTAAATACAGTATCATTGCTTGAAATAAAGATAATTTATGAAGTTTTTAAAAGGGAGATTTGCCCTTCACAAGTCTGAGCTACACTCACTAAGGTTTAGCACATTAATGTTCAGTTGGTATAYGTTTTGCAGACTGATTGAACTGAGAAGTGGTGCGTGCGTGTGTTTTGTTAGAATTTATTCTACATATTTATTGTTTGAAGATTTAGAAGTTAATAAGAGCTTTCTGTATATTTTTCACTTGTGTGTGTGTGTTGTTAATTATTCCCTCGATTTCAATGAAGACTCGTTGCACAGAAACACTGTTCCTGTGAAGGGCAAACCAATCATGGCAGTGGAAAGTTTACTTGCATTGTTGCATGAGATTTAGTACCTCATCTGGATGCCTAAAATCTGGTGCTTTTTTTTTCGTTTGTTTGTTTTTTCTGGGCAAACGAGTGAGACATTCAATGTTTGCATAAAAAAACTGTCTAATTTTCATCTCCATCCTGTTTGTCCCTTTGTTCTTAAAAAGTATTTGCTGTCCAGCTCACCTTTGTGGTACACGTTCAGCTTCTCTGTAAAACCTGCTGTCAACCCATCTTTTTCAATAAAGTTGTTGTGAAAGACTGCAACCTATTAAACCAAAGCTGAAAGGAACAAAAAATAAAAAAGAGAGAGAAAATGTGTGTTAACTCCTTGTTTTTTGCTGTGAATGTTAGCATTTTTCCCCTTGCCATTGCATTCTGTAACCTTTTTTTTTTGTGTTTCATTTGTGTCATCCATGTTTTGAGCATCACCTGTATGTTGCTTTGTATTTATGCAATAGTTGCAGTTGTGACTATGATGAATTTAGGCCTGACTYCACTAAACAGAGTGTAATGCAAAGAACAGGCAAAATATATATATATCTATATATATAAAAAATAAAGGAAAACCTTTTTTGAATGTCCAGACTTAAACGTTTCCTGTCTAATTTAATTTGATGAGTCTTTAATGTCTTCACTACTAGAGTTTGTATGTTTATTTTGTTTTTCGCAAATAATTCTTTTAGCTGTTAAATGTCTGAATTCAAAGGCCTGATCATAAAGGTTTACTGCACCGCATAAATGACTATTTCTAAGCAAAGGCAGCTTTTTTTTGGGATGGCCTCCTTTCTCCCCTTATAGCCATCCTCTCCACACCATTATGATTTTTTTATAAGTGAAGAGAAAATAGAGACAGAGAGAGAGAACTAATTTGAAAGATAGACTGAAATAGCAATTAGAAATATATTAAATATACACCAACAAAACACAGGACCACACAACCAACATCTGTCCGCTCACCTGAAAAATAAATGGATAAATACATGGAGGGCATATATAAA